TTGTTCGTTACTCCAATAAAGGTGTTTACAAAATTTGGAGTGAAACTATTTTATAATCTGGCACCAGCAAAGCGAAAGAAAAATATGAGTACATACATGTTTAGGCAAGATATTTAATCTCTATAAACGCATTATTATTTCATAAGCACACTTGGCCTCAAGTACGACTATATGCGAATAAAACAGAAGTGTTAAAAGATTAAGTAAGAAGTGCTAAGAAGTACAATAAGAGTACATAAAAGAAAAGGCAGTCGAAGAAACTAAAATATGAATACAAATACATACAAATACACAGACATAAGTATACAATCCGAGAAAATAAGTCGAGTAGATGAGTTAATAAACTTGTTGAGAGTGTGTGAGCGATGGCAAAGAAAACACGTTGAAGGCTGCGTCAAGTAAGTGAATTAAAAGAATATGGGCAGGCATGAGTATATTGTATATGAGTACACATCTTTATACAAGTAAAATATAAATATACAGATATATGTATTATATATAATACAAGTATATGTATATATGATATAAATATGGTATGTATGTATGTATATATATTTATGTGTGTTGCAAAGCTGCAAAGGAAGTATTGAAAATAAAGCAGAAGAAGAACAGTTGCTAAAGAAGTTGTTACACAGCCAACGAGTGAATGCATGGAAACAATATATCACACACACAAATACACATGCACAACGCTTCACCACTGATCTGCTTAAGCGGATACGTACGAATGGGCGTAGAATACAAAAGGATACTACATTTAACCAGAAGCTGCGTGCTGAAAGAAGTTATGTCTGCCTCTTGGCTGCATTGTTGGTTTTCATGCAGCACTTTTTTGCTGTGCTTTTGTGATTTTTGTTATTGTTGGCGGTATAAGTGATTGTATTGTATTGTTATATTTGGTTGCTGCTGCTATTGCTGCCGCTTGTAGTGGAATGTGATGTGTGAAATAAGCGGTACGGGCAATACTGGCAAGTTGATGGAAGCTGCCTGATGACGGCGTGTCGGTTAAAGTAAATAATAAGAATGTTGCTAACGGTGAGGAAGTGCATAATGTATATATGTATTTATATGTGTACACAAAAGTTTCCGAAATTGTAAGCGAGCAGCGTGCAAAGCGTACAGTTGTCTTGCTGAGGGAAGAAAAAAAGAAGAAGAAAAATCGGAGAAAAGTTTATGAAGACAACATCCGGTGATACTTGTATTGTGTTGCGAACAAGTGTTTGCTTGTATGCAATGCAATCACACACACACACACACACCTCTTTATATAAGGAACTGTTGTTAAATATTGCACAAAAGATGCGACGAGCGACAGTGTTGCTTAAAAATGCTTTGATTTCGCCACGCTGTGTTAAACGTAATGACGTCGCAAATATGTCACAAGCAGTTTGGGGCAAAGCGACAATGGCGGAGTCAACGTCCCATTCATAGATTTCCCTTTACATGTGAGAACAAGAGTAAGCTGTTCTTTATTGTCTGCAATTTACTTTGCGCGGTTGTTTGTTTATGCTTTACATGCAGACATTTGTGGATCTTTCATTATTTATTTTGCTGCCTTCATTCATATTAAACGGTTTGCTTACCTTTCTGCGTAATTATTTGCAGTTGTTTTTATTTGTTTGTTAACATGTTTTCACAGTTGTTATTAAAAACCAATAGAAGTGACAAAGGTGAATAAAAACTCCACTTCACACAAAATTTTCTATGCAAACTTTCATGTACTGAATATGTAAATTAACTTTCGCCTGATTAATTGCAGACACCATCTCCTCTTTTCGTATAAGTGCTGCGTTTTGGTATCGCTGTTTTCATTTGTTAATGTTATTTTGTCGCGTTTACTTACACCCACATACATTTGCAGATGCGTGTTTGTTTAATTTCTGAAATTTAAATTCAAAATACTTAACATTTTGATATCTAAGCTGAATGAAATAAAAATATTTTCAAATTCAATTCTTCCTTTCTTTTTTAATTTATTGGTCGCATGACGCATGTCGAATGTCGCATTACAGCTTTGTTGTTGCAGTTGCTTATACAGGTTGATGGAAAAGTGAGTAGTGTTATCCAAGAAATAGCTCAAGTTGGTACATCTGGCGTGAGCACATATGCAAAGTTACGAGTCATTCTGTCAATTCATTCTTTGTTTATAAGTCATTTGAAGTTGAGGTGTCAGTGTTTTTTTTTAATATGGAAACAATTTTTAAGGGTTTAAAAGCAAGGGAAATTTATGAACCCTTGTTAAAAGTGTATAAGAAGTCCTCACCTTCAAAACGCACCGTTGAATTTTGGTTTCGTTAATTTAAAAGTGCAACAGGAATTTTTTTGATTGATTTCCGCAGAAAAGTAATATAGTCAACTCTGAATATTATTGCAGCCTTTTGGCTCAGTTGGATGAGAAAATTCGTGAGAGGCCTGGTTTGCGGCACAAAAAAATAATTTTTCAGCAATACAATGCGCCTGCTCGAAAAGGTGTTTTAACAATGACAAAACTCAACGAACCAAAGGGGGAATTGCTTAAGCGTCCACCGTATTCACCAGTTTTGGCTTCTAGCGATTACCACCTCTTCAGAAACCGGAAACAACTCCTTTTGGGAAAGCGTTTTTCGTCGAATGAAGAAGCTATTACAGCCGTAGACGCGTATTTTATAGAGCTTTAAGGTCATGATGAATTCATTTTTAATCACCAGTCACAATCCGATGTCAAAGCGATTTCTTTTTGTTGCCTTCAAGCGCCAATTCTGACATGCATGCTTTCAACGTTTCTCGATCTAACTATCTTTAAATGACAGTAGCTTTCCAATGCATGTTCGAAATATTGGAACAATGGAATAATAAGTTACGACAGCTCATGGTAAACCGCAAAAATTTAGTTATAGACTTAATACAAAAATATTATGTTTTAAGGCATTGTAAAAAATTAAAACTTTATTAAAGACTTTTTTACAATCTAAAAGCTTAGGTTCTGTGCCGACAATACGGCATTGCTTGTATCCTAAGATTGAGGTTTTCAAGAAATATCATTAATATTCTTAATACGAAACTCAAGGTCATATGGGTCGAGATGTTTGAAAAACTTATGAAAAATTAGTAATGAGTCGCCTTTTATTAAGGTATACCAAGCTATATGCGTGAAGAAAATATTTGTACCATATATCAAATAACTTTTAAGTTTCATTTCAACACTGAAATAAATTATAAATAGATCACTAACGAAAAAAAAAGATTTTAAATGTTATATGACAACTTCTAAAATGCTGATTTTGTTGTTAATGACAAGATATGCCAATACCATGTTTATAAGAATTCGACCGCAGACAAAAAAAAATCATTATCTGAACACAAAAAAATCACTAGGAGCATCAGTTTTTAATCAAACATTTTGCATATGAATTAAAAAAATAGGTCGGTGCATATGAGCAACCTTCATACCGGTATGTGGAACAAAAAACATAAATAAGAAAATATGCATTAAAAAATGTACGAGTCCAAACCATTGCGTCACATTTGAATACATGCAAATATTGAAAAGTGATTTAGCTAATTAATTGAATTAAATTTGGAATTTTACCAAACTTAATGAAACTGTTTCCAGATATTTTAGAAAGCAAGCGTAGCCGCAACTGTTTGACTAACAAAAATGTAGTTACAAGCGAGATAAAAAGTTTGAACTGAGAAACAGCTACAAATAAACTAAAAAAGAAAGACAAAAAAGCGCAAAAAAGAAAAAGTTTAGTGCAATTGCGACGCTTCTTAATTAAAAATAGTCAAATGCAGTGGCGAAAAAGCGAAGAACTAAACAAAAAACAACACACAAATGCTACTGCAGAGTAATGAAGAAGTGGAAGAAATAAAAGATGCAGCAGTTTTTTTCGCTCTTCAATGAGGAGCCAGATCACCAGATAAAGAGGTTAGAAAGGAAAAGTTCGTGAGCAGTGGCCTGGCTACTATTTGTTTATGACAGTCTATTCAGCTATCCTTTTGGCACTTTTGCTTTCAATGCTCCAGATATCTATGCTCTTTCGCATTTTTTGCCTTCACGCATTGTGCTTACCTCTTTGGGGCGCAATTTGAAACAGTTAGATAAGTTAGCGTTTGGTGAAAGCATTTGACATTGAGGCTGGTCAACGCTGCGAAAAGTGTTTACTGGCAATTGCTGCGCTTTGTTAATTTGCTAACTGATTTTTGAGCGTTCAGATTTTGCTTAGTTTGTTTTATTCCTTTTAGTTTTTATACCCTGAACAGGGTATATTAAGTTTGTCACAAAGTCTGTAACAGAAAGAAACGTCGGAGACCTTAAAACTCATTTACATAAATGATCAGCATGATGAGCTGAGTTGATTTAGCTATGTCCTTCTGTCTGTCCGTCTGTATATACGCGAACTAGTCTTTCAGTTTCTGAGATATCGATCTTAAATTTTGCATATAACCTTTTCTAACCAAGAAACTACTCACTTGTCGGAATGTCCGATATCGGACCACTATAGCATATAGTTGCCATACAAACTAAACAATCGGTATCAAGTGCTTGCATGGAAAATTTTTTTATTTGACGAGATGTCTTCACGAAATTTGGAACGGATTATTATCTAAGGCAATAATAGAATATGCGAAGAAATTGTTCAGATCGAATTACTATAGCATATAGCTGTCATACAGACTAAATAATTGGAATCAAGTGCTTCTAAGGAACCTTTTGTGTTTGTGAATGGTATTATAGCTTCGTTGCAATCGAAGTTAACGTTTTTTCTTGTTTGTTTTTGTGTTTTTGGATTGTGCAAGGTTGCTTTGTGGCTTTTCGTGAGTAAATGGTTGCACAAACAAATGGCGGCAATGTGCTTTTTATTTGCTTCGTAGGTGAAGTTGCCCGATCGGGAGCTTGTTTGTGTTCTTTGATACCTTGTGTACTTTTGTGTAATTCTTTTTTTATGATCTTCCTTGTCAAAAAGTCATCCTTTTTTTTTTTTGCCTTTTAGTTAGCAAAATTTTTTTTGTTTTCTTACCTTGCACGTGTAAATGCCTTCGTCCATGCGGCTGGCTTTGGTGATACCCAAAATGGCAGTAAAGGTGTCTTTTGTTTCCGGTGGTAAGACGGTGGTCCAGATTTCTCTAGAAATAACAATGTAGATAATAAAATTAAGTGTGGTTAGAGGGATTTTGTCATGAAGGGTAGAATCAATTCATAAAATCATTTTGAGAGTAACGCAATCGACAAATAAGTTAATTCACACTTTAGACAAATTTTTATAAAGGTTTTAAGAACACTAAACATTTTCAACACGAACTTAATAAACTGTTTTCTAATGTTAATGACCAGTACATTCGAATACACTTCTGATCATTAAGAAGTAGTATTTAAAGATAGCCTGGTTTATGTAGAGGTTCTGATATATATATTTTATGTAATAACAATTATGATGTAAGTTTTTTAAAATTGTCTACCGTTTTATCGTCTAAAATGTTCATATACGATTTTTATTCTCTTGCGTCTGCTTTGAAGTGTCTAAAAAGTTTTGAAAGTGATTATTTTTATAAAAAAAGCTTAAATAAAAATGAAAGTACTGAAATGTATCATATTATGTATAAATGGTATACATATGTATGTATATTGTATAAATGGAAGTCTACTAGCAAATTTTAGTTTAATTCCACCAATGACGATTTTAAAGCAATAATTTTTAAATAAATTGCATTAAAACTTTATCACATTTTACAAATATAGCTAGAATATAACATTATGCCAAACAGCGATCTGTTATCTTTTGCTCTGATTTTTTTAAATTTTACAAAATTCATCTTGGTATAGACTCTGGGTCTAAGGTCTCTATTAACAATAAATAGCTTAATTAAGGTTAAGTTTCGTAGCTGATTCTTGACCAGGAGATCGAAGATGTGCAAAGTTAAATATCCAGGGATGCAGAATTATACTGAGCCCATACAAATATTACTAAGAAGATACATTTCTTTACCATCTTACTCATTTGTGTAGCTAAAGAATTAAAAACTTGGCTGTTTCAACAAAGTCACACAAAAGTGGATCAGTAAAGCATAAATTTATCGACGATGACCTTTAGGATAAGTTTATCGTATGGATATAAATCGGGCAAGGGTCACTCAGAACTTCAATAACTTGATAGAGGTGGTTTTAGTATATCTAAGGGGCATGCGCAAGTGTGACAGCCTAAAGAAACAAAAGCTAGTACATCAATTGTTTTAAAATCAATATATCTATGCAAAAGTAAATAATTTAATTGTTTCGAAATTTCACTCAAGGTGTACCAATTAAAAAAAGTCGAAAGGCTTCTTACTATTCATGTGAGATCAGAAAGACTTTGCGACTGCGCAAATGCTCAAAAGACTGTGGAATACTCTGGAGGTTTGCATAGACTAGATTTGTTCCAAACTTCTTTCTTTTTGTTACTTGTTAGGTAGAGATAAATTAGAACGACGTCTTTTGTACATAGTAAAAATCTTTTAATATAATAATAAGGTTCCATTTCATTAGATCATTAACATACGTATGAGTATGTTGAATGAGTTACATTCGCTTTTACATTTACTGCCTATACACATATCTATTTCGATGTAGCTAAAAAAATTTACCTTTACACCATTTTAAGCACAAAGGCTTGATTAAGCTATCACTACACACTGACATGTGTGCCTCGTTGACCTACAAAATAACTACACCTGCTTTAAATAAGAACAGACATGTGAATGCATTAGTATGTATATGCATTAAAACTAGTTTAGTGCTTGTTTCTACACAGTCATATATTTGAGTGACATTGTCACCATTAGCGACATTATTGCTAATTACTATTCAGCAGCAAAGTTGATAAACCTTTAAATTTCAACTTTAGGGCGGTAAGTATTTAATATTGTTGCTTATAATATTTACTTAAAAATTTTAAACACTAAAAAGTTTAGCAGAAGCGATACGTTATCAAAAAAATATCTTCATCTCCATTCTGATCGACCAGTTTTTATGGCAATACAGTCTTATAGTGGTCCGATCTAAACAATTTCTATAGAGATTGTAATGTTATCTTGTCAAATAAAACGTTTTTTATACAAGTGAATTATTTTGTATGACATATATATTTTATAGTGGTCCGCTATAGACGATTCCAACATTTAAAATATTCTTGGGGACAAAAAGACTTATGCAAAATTTTAGCACTTTACAGGACATACAGAGATGGCTAAATCAACTCAGCTCATCATGCTGAACATATGTATGACATAATATATATGGCATGTACTCGTATAGTATGTATAAGCTTACATATACTCAAATACTACATTTGCAACCTCTATATAATACTGATATTCGCAGACTCGCTCACCCACCTTACTTTTCTCATAATCACAACTATATGCGCCCGAGCATCAATTAACATTTGCGGCACATTTTCTTTTTAATTTTTTCGCTTTGCGCAGGTGAAAATGATGCCAAAGTGCACTTGAACTTCTTGGTGGAATTTCGCGCTCATATCGTTTGCATGCTAAGAAGGGAATTAACATATATTTTGCATAGATATTACTGCAATATGTTCATGAAGTGTGGATGTAGATTTCTATATGTATGTACCCAAAAAGGATATTCATATACATACATATATTGTAAGTTATATTGGCGCCAACTGGTAATGATTATACAGAATTACTAATATATGTGTATTTGTATATGTATATACATGCCATACACATAAATATGTATGGTATACTGTGGAAGTACATGTCACGTGAGTTATGAAGACGTCGCGTATACTGAATACCCTGCTGGAAAAATTTGCACTTTTGAATTGTATGACATTTAATGTTATTATACTAATTTCATAATTAAGTTTACTCAAGTATTTGGATTCAGTAACAGTTATGCTTAAAGAATAAATTCGTTGAATTATACTTGTAAGATGTAAACAATATATTTTCAGATCATTCGCATACAAAATGTAAAATTTATTTTATTTTTGTATTGGAATGAACTTTTATAAATCAATATACAATTCATTTAGTCATAATTTTAGATCTATTGTAAGATTACTTTTCGTCTTATAATTATTCTCCTAAATATCTAAATGTTTTGAATTTTTGTTTTGAGAAAAGTTCAGCTACATTCTCAAAAGTTCCTTTCTTTTCCCATAGGGTATTATTGTCACAGCTGGCACATATTCTTACATACTTATATGTATGTAAGTATGCATAAGTAAAGCACAAGTTCATTAGTATGCACTAACATATTGCAAATTGATGTGTCAAGTGGGGTTTCGCACACTGCTGCAGATTTCTGATAACATATGGTGGAACGTTGATGCTGCAGCCACAGACTTATTGCAGGTTTTACAAGCTAACATAAAAAAAAAACTAAAATTCATTAATATAGACATGCAAATTTGTAGTTGCAATGACACTTACATTTACAAATTTATATACAGGCACATGACTACAAGTTCAGCAAACGTAAATATATTAATTTAGGATGTAAAGCAATTGGAGAAATACAAGATAAATATAGAAAAATAGGCACATTAAAGAAGAAAAAAAATCATGACTGAACGATCAAATCATGCATTAAGACATATGGTGTAGTATGAACTACAAAATCAAAATTTTGTCTTTCAAAGCTCATTAATTGACTTTATCATTTATTAATACACGAAGGTCAATATATTATGATTTGTGTTCACCAATTACTGTAGAGTATACAATTTTGTCAGATCGATAATTTTTGACTGCTTTCTACATATGTACATAGGCACTTTTATATAGCATACCATTTCACATAAGCATACAATTAGGCGCTGGCAAAATCACCGATCATTTGCGTTCACCATATTTGCTTTGCATCCGTGGCAGTGGTATTATATTAGTTTTCGGTCGACGAAATTAAATATCAGCACGAGACAAAGAAAATGTATTAGCAACACATTTTCACGAGATTCATTGACTTTATACCACACATACAATAATATATAATAGCTTGTTAGTTTTGAAAATCGTGCGCATTTTCTTAATGCTCTTTAGTGACTCCATATTTCAGTATATATTTAGTTTCTAAAAGTATCATATTGAGTTTTTGCAACAAGTATGTTCGTGCCCTAAAACTTTTATTGCCAGACATAGTTTTGGTTAAGGAAATAAAAGGCTAGAAACCATACTAGGTCAATTTTATAATTATATATGAATAAATAATTATAACAGAACTTTAAAAGTGAAAATGCAAAAACCAAATAAGTTAGAACATTTAGGTACCGTCTCACAAGTTCATAAAACTATCATTGCTGTTAAGTCTGAGTTCCTTTACTTTCAGATGACATTTATATTTTTTTTTGCTTTCTTCTATTCAAATTTTTAATCGATCTAAAAATTGTGCAATCATTTTATTAAAATTTTAAAACTTTTTTATTATATATAAATCAGAGATATATACTGAACTCCAAGTAAATGAGAAGCATTTAATAATGACTAAATTTTTATACTGTCGCGATATCTATATAAAGCATAAATTGGTGCACGATAAAGAAGGTAGTATTGAAATGAAATTATATTAAAACTGTACTGAAGAAAAAATTTATATTGAATCAATATAGTATAAGAAATTTCCTTAGCAGACAGAACTTAATTTATAATCGATGTAAGGCTATATTTATGTGTGTGGAAGGTTATATTTGTGCAATAAAATCGAAATATTTGCAGTAATAAATTATTTATTTATATTAAAATTCAATAAGATATGACAATGCTCCAATTTAGTGTCAATGAGTTATGAAACTGGTAAGCATTTCTTGTATTGAGCGTAAGATTTGTTATGTACACATAATTACAGACATGTGCATTAGGGTGTCCATTATTTCCAACGATACTAGATGTTTCGGCTTTTGCCATAAAACCTAGCCAACATAACAAGCACTTTATTACAAGTTTAAGTCGTACCTAAGTCATGTCATGACATGGTATTTTTTGATGTTTTGCATTAAATACATAAACTAACAACCTCAAAAAGAGAAAATTCTAACACAAAATTTTCTGCTCTATAAAAAAGCTCCTGATAATTTTTTATATAAAAACATTACTTTAAAAGTTATGCGCAGTTAAATTTAAGC